ACCAGGATGCGAATATCGAGTCGACATCATCCACACAAGCAAATAACTTTGCTCCCATTTCAAACCAATCACAGTCGGATGTTCAAGCCAAGATTGCAGCAAGATACAGAACACAGCCAACCAATGAAATGCAACAAACCAAACCAGAAAGAAAGCGATCAGTGGTCGATCGATACATGCCACAGGGAGAAAACAAACCAAGACAACAAACACAAGACTCTCAAACTTCTACTTCTACTCCTACTCCTCCTACCCCTCCTACCGGTAGTGCAACAAAATCAACAAAACCAACAGCAGTAACACCGCCACAGTCACCCAACAAATCAAATGGTGGTGGTGGTGGTGATGATCATAATAATAATGACAAGGAAGCCAAAAGTGCTGCCAATGAGTTACATATCGAGGAACCTACTACTCCACACCCACCAGCCAAAGAACCAGTACTTGTCTTGTCACCCAAAATGACGGCCAAATTGCGGAACAAAATGATTGCGTCCTCGCCAGCAGGCAGAAAAGGGGCAAAGACACATGCTACTGCCGCCTTGTCGCCATCGCTCGCGGCTTCGAGGGGCAGTTTGCAAGATAGAATCAAACTATTCTCCAACTCTAATGCGTCAGCGCCATCTTGGGCTCTCAATCTACAACAACAAAAGAAGGTGCCACAACAGCTTCCACCTTCACAAGAACGACAACAGAAACAACAAGAAAAATCAAAATGGCGTCATGAAATGAGAAGTAAACGACTGCCTAACAAGAGTGTGGTTCCAGCTAAAATGAAAAACGTCATGGCGGCGCCCATGAAACTGGCAGACTTTGAGCCTCCCAAGTTTCCAAAAAGTTCTTTGGATGTAGAAACAATCACATCGTCCATCAGAGCCAACTTCTTGTTCGAACAATTGTCCAAGGCAGATTTGGACACCTTGGTGCAAGCCTTTGAAAAAGTACGAGTGCACTTGGGAGAAGAAATTATCAAACAGGGAGAATCGGGAGATTACTTTTATATACTGGGAAATGGAAAAGTCAAATTTGTGGTCAATGGCAAGGTGGTGGGATCAGCAGGTGCAGGCAAGTCCTTTGGAGAATTGGCACTCTTGTACACCTCACCAAGAGCGGCCACTGTCATTGCCGATTCCAATCCGACACACTTGTATCGAGTGGATCAAAAGTCTTTCCGATACATCATGCAAACCAAGGCCCAAGAAACGGAAGGAGAAAAGATGAAACTTTTGCAGAGTATTGCATTTCTTAAAGACTTTGCCAAGCCAGATTTGGAACGACTCTGTAATTGTATGGTGATGCGCAAATTCAAACCCAAGGAATCCATCGTGACCAAGGGAGAAGTGGGGAATGATTTTTATATTTTGAAAGAAGGCAGTGTCGAAATTACCGAGATTGAAGCCGGAGGCAAACGCTTCGACGATATTACCTTGAAACCTGGTGCATACTTTGGAGAGCGGGCATTGATTACTAGTGAGCCACGAGCAGCAAATGTCATTGGAAAGTCAGAAGGATCATGTTTTGTCATTGATCGGGATACCTTTGAAAAGGTATTGGGCAAGTTTAGCAAGGTCATTTTGAAGTCACAAGATAAAGTCTTGTTGGTAAGTACCAGTACTAGGTACCAGGTACCAGGTACCAGTACCAGGTACCATTCAGCTTTTGGTTCCTCGTAAAATTTTGAGACTTATCCATTTTCTTTGTACCTGTAGGAGGGAATCCACATTATCAAGGAAGCCAAGTTGGAGGCCAAGGTGATGGATCAACTGGCGTTTGCGATCGTTGATCGCAATTTCAAGGCTGGGCAAAATATTATGGAAGAGGGAAAGAGCACCACAGCGGCACTCTACTTGGTTCGAGAAGGATCTGTTTCGATTCGCGATGGTGACAAGGTGGAGAAGACGATCGAAGCAGGGGGCTACTTTGCCGATGAGCACTTGATGGGCGATGCACTCCGTGTTGCCAATACCATGGGAAATATGTCATCCCAACTCACGGTTGTGTGCGAAGAAAAGTGTACTTGTGGTGTCTTGACGTTGAAGCAGTGTCGATTGTTTGTTGACACGTCTAGAGCCTTTCCCGTCGTTGGCAAGAAAAAGAAAGCGAGCAGCGATGGTGCACAAAGCAAGAGTGGCAAAAATGACGAGGCTTCAGGAGAGTTCGATAATCGTTCATCAGCTATTTTGAAACGCCGATCCACCATCAAAGAAACCTTCAACAATAGTGTCAGTATGGAAGAATTGGAGAAAAATGAGCTTCTTGGCGAAGGACAATTTGGACAGGTGTGGCTTGTCAAGGCTGATATTTGGGGCACTGGGGAAGAAGAAGACATGGAACAGTTTGCTTTGAAGATTCAACAGTGGGACGATGGAGATTGTAGTAGAGAATACGCAGCAGCAATTCAGAGAGAAAAGGAAGTCATTTCGAGCATGGAGCATCCTTTTATTGTGGACTTGATTTGCTCCTTTGACAATGAACAAGAGTCTTTGATGCTGATGACTGTTGTTGAGGGTGGAGAGCTTTGGAATGTCATCCATAGAGAAAGTGATGACGGGTCCGGTGACTGGATATCAGGAATCAGTGAAAGCGATGCTAGATTCTACTCTTTGGTTGTGGGCGAGGCGTTGGCGTACATGCACCACAAGTCGATTGTATTCCGCGATTTGAAGGTAAGTTGTGTGCCACGGAGGGCCATGTTGAACTCACTTCAACGCGATTGCATTGAATACTCACCATTAATTGTATCCAACTTGGTGGATTCAGCCCGAGAATGTTTTGATCGACAAGGACGGATATCCCAACATAATCGACTTTGGATTTGCCAAGGTTTGCGAAGGCAAGACTTTTACATTTTGTGGAACACCCCAATATGTGGCACCTGAGATCATTTTGTCCAAGGGTCACAGCTTTGGAGTCGACCATTTTGCGCTGGGAATTGTGATTTACGAGATGATAGCAGGAGAGAATCCGTTCTACTATGATGGGCTGCCAACTTCAGAGCTATATGAAATCATTTCCAAAGAAGAACCCTATCCATTGGCCGAGACTGTGTCAAAGGAAGTGAAAGATATTGTCAATGGACTGTTGACCAAAGATCCGAATCAACGACTGGGCAACTTGTCTGGTGGAGAATTGGATATCTTGAATCATAAATGGTATGCAAAGAGCGAACTAGACTTGAAGCTACTAAAAGAGAAGAAGATCAAAGCACCGTTTATCCCCGATTTGAGTAAATAAGACTCGATTTTGGAATAATAGTGCTAATTTGCCACATTGTGTCTTCTTGTACCATGTTTCGAATAGGTTTGCTCTTCGAGGATTTAAATTGTGGTTTCTTCTTGTCTTATGTGATCAAAAGGAATGGGAAGACTGCAAACAAGACCCAAACATGAAAGGCAAGATATCGAGTGCTCTGCGGACAGGCGACAACCGAGTTGATTGTACCACAAGTAGCCAACAATATTCGATTCGCATTTGCTTTGCCTGTCTCCAAGAAGAAGAGATCACCAAGGGGATATCATACCTTGCCAACACTGCCAACGATATTGTCTACGTAGCTATTAGAGTGATAATAATAGTTAACAATTGAATGGGCATAGTCCTAAACTCAGAACTCAGCCCATATCTGTTGCTACACTCAAATTTTACCGTTGGCATCATTATTTTTCATCCAAACAGGGAAAATAGTGCTGCTGAAAATCGGATCATCGTCGGTGAGCGGTCGGTAACCGTCATCTTTGTCACCAGGGTGGCTTAGTATGAGTGCTGAGATACCAACGACAACTAACAGAAAAACCAGGATGGCAATAATTCGTATTTTGAGAGACAAATCATCCCATCCGGGGAACAGTCGTCGCTGTTGTCTCCTTATTCGTTTGGAATGCTTGTGTTTCTGAGGGATGTGTTCAGACGGTTCATCGGAACAAACAGATACCTCTCTCGATTCAATCTTGTCGATTCTTGTTTTTAGCACATCGTTTTCGCGTTGTATCTCGAGCATCCCTATCCTGACCCTCAGATCTTCGTTTTGACGCTCCATTCGATCGACCGTTTCCATATCCAAAGAATGTGACATACTGCTGTCCGGAGTAAGAAAACGGTGTCGCTGCATGCCTCTCTCACCCGCCAAATCAAGCTGGCGGACTGAAATGACTCTCAGATCTTCATTTTGGCGTTCCATGGCATCCATTCGATCGACCGTCTCCATATCCAAAGAATGCGACATACTGCTATCCGGAGTAGAAAAAAGGTGCCGCTGTACGCCTCTCTCACCCGCCAAATCAAGTTGCCGGACTGAAATGACTCTTAAGTCTTCATTTTGGCGCTCCATGGCATCCATTCGATCGACCGTTTCCATATCCAAAGAATGTGACATACTGCTATCCGGAGTAGAAAAATGGTGTCGCTGCATGCCTCTCTCGTCACCCGCCAAACCAAGTTGCCGGACGGAAATGACTCTTAGGTCTGCATTTTGACGCTCCATGGCATTCATTCGTTTGTTATCTTTCATATGCAAAGAATGTGACATACCGCTATCCGGAGGAGGAAAATGATGTCGCTGCCTGCCTCTACGTGCACCCACCCAATCAAGTTGTCGCACGTTACTCCGGTGATTGCCTTCCGAGCCGCCAATGTGTTTGACATCTCGGGGGTCCCGAAAGGATTTGTGTTGCAGATCTCCGAGGTCCCTATATGATTTGAGTTGAAGTGGTTCCTTTTGCCTTTTCCCCTGTTCACTCGAAGTTTGCTTGAGATCTTTCAGGTCCCAGGAATGATGCCGACGAAGTCGGTGAAGTTTCGAAGTTTCTTCGGACTTCTTTGAATGCCTGGAACGGGAACGAGTATGATGTCGATGATTGTGCTTGTGTCGTTCTTCCCATCCATCGGCACTCTTTGAACGCTCCTTTTGGTGTATCCATTCGTTTTTTTCATCAGGAGATGCGGAACTATTATGTTTGCTATTTTTAGAACGCTGGTCCAATCTCATCCTTATTCCATCGGCGCTGTTTGCACGCTCTTTTTGGCGTGTCCGTCGCTTGCGGTCGTCTGGAGATGTGGTACTTGGGATGCTGTGTTTAGAACGCTCATTCAATCTCATCCTTCCATCGGCGCTCTTTGCACGCTCTTTTCGGCGTGCCCGTCGCTTGCGGTCATCAGGAGATAAAGATGTGGGACTCGGCGTGCTGTGGTGGGAATGTGGAGTTGACGACCAGCGCGATGATTTCGAATTGGATCCTTCCACTTCCCCATTGAGGTCAATTGTTGTTGTTGAAGGATCGTGGACAGACTTGGACATTTGCTTGTCGTTTAGTGCAGATGTCGCGTCATGCAATCTCATCGTTCCATCGCCGCTTTTGCGATGTGTCCGTCGCTTGCGGTCAGCAGGAGATGAAGTACAAAGCAGTCTGTGGTTAGAATTATGCTGGTCCAATCTCATCCTTGCATCGGCGCTCCTTGGATGCTCTTTGTGATGTGTCCTTCGCTTGCCTTCATCGGTAGATTTTGGGCTAGACGTGCTGTGATGGGAAGTATAAAGCTGATCCAATTCCATTGCTCAAACTTTTGTTGTAATAATATTGTATTGTGTCCGAGTGCTCTATTATTGTGATTATGACGATAAATTTCAATTCTGTGATGTTTTCTGTTCTTTTTTAATAGCTACCGTAACTGCAGAAAACCACAAGATATATTACGTATAGATATACCGTATGTACGGTA